GATCTAAATATCATCTATTCTATTTCGTAGAAAAATCGTATCTAAATCTATAAAATGCATTAAATAAATAAAGAGAAATCGACAAATTATTAAGATATATCTTCATTTTTTCAATTTATCAAATAAATTTCATAAATTTTCATAAATCAAAATTTGCAGAGATAGAGAAGATTAATATATAAATCAAGAGTATTTATATTAATGAAAACTAGAATAAAAATAATTATTCTTAAACAAAATAATATCTTATTTAGTCGCCATATATATTTTCAATTTTATTTATATACAGCCTATTTTAATAGTACAAATATTTTTTTCAAGATTTTAAATTCGTATTATATAAATCATAAAGAAATCTAAGATAATTCAATTCTCCTATAAATAATATTTGAGAAATCAAATGAAATCTACAGAATTCGCAAATCTTTATCAATAATAAATTTTGAGAATTTAGCCGCCTCATATAGAATCCAAAACGAGGATAAAGTCTGCCCCCCACCCATCTTCGAATCGTTAGAAAATTGAGGGGGGGGGGGGCGGAGTTAACCCCCCTTTTTCTTTCAAGGAGACCGTTTTATAAGGGGCTTACGCTAGCCGATTTTAAAGGCTATTCTGGAGGGGGATAGAATGAGTGGAATTAGAAAATGTGTTATTTGAATCTAGGTCATAGAAGAAATATCGTTATATCTTGTATCTGTTTCATAATAATATATAAATTTCCAGTCTTAACGAAATAATATCTCTTTTCTTCGTTTTTTGGGTCCAAGCCGGAGGTTGTATCGAGTCGATGGGTCGCCCTCAAACTTCATCATTGCGTTTCAACCGAGATTTGCGAATCTGTGCCGACTTTGTCTGGATCTACGTACGATGTGTATTTCGTCAACCCATGGCTCCAACATATGCCAGGAAGCATCAGCATTGACGCCACGAAATAAACCATGCCATGAAACTGGCCTTCGCCTTTGAATTTTGGAATCAGCACCTGGGATTCACACCAGAATCGTTAGGCCACAACAAGGCCGAGAGACTATTTGCAGGGCGAGAAATGTTTGCAGCAAAGGCGCCTCGGAAGCAAGCAGCGGGGCAAAGATCTTCGCAAGTGTTTCTAAAATGGACATCGCTCCCTGAAGCGTACCCTGCTGTTGAGGAGGCAGCTCTCGCGCAGCTAGCCCCACCGCAATCGGGTAGCACATTGAGCCGACGGCGAAAAAAGTGATGACAGCATATGCCAAAGCCCAAGTGCTCGGCGTCAGCAAAGAGAACAGCAAGTAAAACATGCTGAGGGACGCGAAGCTGAACGTGAGAGTCGTGATTTCGCCAAATCTGCGGGTCAGAAATGGTTGGACCACAGCTAGAATGAAGAGCGACTCCATTGCCCAAACCATACCCAGCAGTATGTAGAAGCGCTTGTCCATCTTCAAGAACTTCTGGCAATAGAAATCCAGGGTGCTTACCATCATATTCAACCCGAAAGAACTCAGGAAGACCAAGATGGAGTAGATCACCTGAGGCTACGGTTAGAGAGGCTCCTGAAATGGATGATATCTTCGAAGGAGGCGGTGCACTGGAAACTCTGCGAAACATTCGTGAGCATGGCATACCACCAAAGCTGCCCAGGCTCGCTGTGGCGAAGCCGCAACCTTTTGCCCTTCTGGCCGAACGTATACCGAAAAACGACTTGTTGATTCTTGTTGATGCCGAAACGGAGTACAACGGTGTCCACGCTCAATTCTAGCAACAACAGAAGCGCGGGCAGCAGCACAAACAGCAACACCAATGCCACAACGAAAGACCCGCGCAAATCACAGGTACCGCTGTAACTCCAACTACAGCAGCGGAACCTGCCACAGGGCCTAGTGACACAACATCAGACAATGATCGAAAACAAGACAGAAAGACGCACTGATTAATCAAAGGTCAGCACGGCTCAATGCAAGTAACATCAGCCAAACACATTTCAGCAGCAGCAGCAGCAGCAGCAGTCCATGGAGCAAACAGCCCCGACCCCAAATGACTTGAACACTCACGAACTGGAGGAGGACACTGTTTGCCGTTGGTTTCGACGCGCAGCTGCATCAACAGCTTGCGGCCGAACCCTGCACGGAAAACGAGATGTTTTACCGTATTGGGCAAAATAAAAACACACTTAGAAAAGTGGTTTC